TATATATATATATATATACGAATATGCAACTGGCACTATGTGGTATGACTCTTGCATAAATGAGAACCAACTTGAAACTTTTGAAAGTATTACTGGATGGCAGAATAAGTAGCATGGTTTCTCATAATTGGTTTCTATACATACCATAAATTGGCACATGTGATATACTTCAAATATATAGTTTCTACATTACAAAAACAAGCAGATATGTACACAATAAACCACATAAAATTGTTTCCCTAATGAAAAATGTAATCTAAAGCACATAAACTCTTGAGAAAATGACAATTAAAACCTAAAAACCAGAGAAGAGACGTTTTAATGCACTATTTACGTTTGTAATAATAAGAGATTAGTGCTTGCTTTCACACTTCTAGCCCAGCTTAGGAATATGACAAAGACAAGCGGTTGGTCTTATTAAATTGTAAATCCAGCATAGCCGATCTTCATTCTGGCGCACAAGAAAATAATACATTGTGCAAAATACATGTGCTACGTTTCTTAATTTGACTAAGACGTGATTTTCAGTTTTTATCATTGCTTGCTCTGGTGTTCATTTACTATTTATATAATGCTGCTCAGTTACTAAACCGTTTCCTTCCCAGTTCCCCTACCCTATCCTTGTGGCTTTGCAGTAATAATAATAATAATAATAATAATAATAATCCCATCAGATTAAATTATAATCTAAGATAAACACATTTTTTTATTAAAATATCAACATTTTCTGCAGAAATTCCGAAAACTGCATAGAATAGAAATTATAAGAAAATTATATGGAAGGTAGTAGAGACATGCATCTAATCATTCTAATGTACCTTTGTAATTGGTGTCAGAGTTGAAGTCCCTTGGTGAATACACCTCCATGCTTTGTGATGGCAGAGATGCTCAACCGTAGGCTATACCAGTAGAAAACTACAAACAAAGAAGTTATCAATTCACTGTGATGATATCTTTATGTGCATGTGCCATGTGCTTAATGTGATACTTAAATTGGTTTATTGGGAAGTATAAATGTACATCTAATAGAACATGGATTAAAATTAGAATAGCAGAGGCTGTGTTGTTTCGCAGAGGAGCACTCGAATTATATTTACATAGAACTATTAGGTGATAGACAGTACACAAATAGTTGGTAGTAAGGCCACAATTAAAAAAAACTTTGTTTGCCCTCACCCAACCCAGGCTGAAAAGTTTGGGTAGGTAGGTAGGCTTCTTTTTTTTGAATGGGTCTTTTTACAAATTCAGCATGGTGTCTACATGCTCGGGTGTGCTTGTGTAGAGATACCTTTTATGTTGAATGTTTGTTTTGCTTGGTACATATAATCAGGAGTAGATAATAGGGAAGGAGTGTGACTTCAATAAACAAGGGAAATTTGTCATTTACTAGCCTTAGAACACCTACGATTTACTACGCGTAACTCAACCAACTTGAGCTCAAATCGTACACAGTACATTTGCATAGCATCATGTGAAATCGTTTCCTCGTATACACCCGCAATCCGGAGATACAGACTAAAACGTACGACACGATTTTCCATTCTGTTGCCAGCAAACTCGATGTGTTAAAGGCCGCCGCACACCAGCCGATTTTTACAAACGATGAAGCGATGAAGCGATGAAGCGATGAAGCGATGAAGCGATAAAGCGATGTAGGTGTGCGGCGGCCTGAATATGCGAGCTGAGAAAAAAATACAATGCGTCCAAGCGAACTATCAAGCGAACAATGCGAATTGAGTGTGGAAATTTACACAGCCACTCGCACACGCTGTTCAATCTTCTAAGGTCACGCGCACACCACAAAATCACGTCCAAATAATCGGTTCAAAATCAAACATGTTTGATTTTGGAACGATCACCCGATAAAAATAAAATCGTCTACAAATGAACGCGCACACCTACATCGTTTCATCGCTTCATCGCTTCATCGCTTCATCGTTTGTAAAAATCGGCTGGTGTGCGGTGGCCTTAACCGCCTAACTCGAAACAAAAGGCAGCTACTAACAACTCTTGCGCCATCGGCAATGCGGTGTGGCTCGCTGAGCTAACCTTTGACCTATTTACAGCTGCTTTTTGTTTCGAGTTAGGCGGTTAACACATAGAGTTTGCTGGCAACAGAATGGAAAATCATGTCGTACGTTTTAGTCTGTATCTCCGGATTGCAGGTGTATATGAGGAAACGATTTCGCACGATGCTAGGCGAATGTACTGTGTACGATTTGAGCTCAAGTTGGTTGAGTTATGCATAGTAAATCGTAAGTATTCTAAGGCTAGTAAATGACGAATTTCCCTTGTTTATTGAAGTCACACTCCTTCCCTATTATCTACTTCTGATATAATGTATTGCCTACAGATTTATATAATGTACATTGATACAATTTGTAAAAAAAAAATGGGAAAGATCAATAATTTTTTTTGAGTCAGCCCCTTTGTGGCGGGTCGGTCAGGTGAGGGCAAACAAACAATATTTTTTTATGGCCCAAATACAATGTGGATATTTACCATTGATAATTTTATTATTGAAATCAC